TGTGTGTGTGTGTGTGTGTGTGTTTGTGTGTGTGTGTGTGTGTGTGTGTGATTCTGATTTCAGTGGTGAGGAGCGCCTGGTGTTCTGATGGATGATGGATGAGAGCTGATGTCAGACGAGTGCTGGAGGATCAGCTGGAGTCTTTAAGCAAGACATCAGACTGCTGTGGACACGCTGGACATGTGCAGTCTCATCCCGTCAGGTCTCGCTCTGCTCGGGTCAGGACGTCCCACTGTCCAGGCAGACTGAAGAACACTGGAGCAGGTGTGTACAGGTGTGTGTGTGATGCGACGTCCATCACTGATCCAGCCACCGCCGGCTGCAGGTGTGTGTCTGAGTGGCCTGCAGAAAACACATGATGATGAGGGTGATGTCCAATTAAGCAGATGCTATGACCAATCATGACCTACGGGTGAAGAACTCATGAGAAACCACTGAAGACGAGAGTTATTAGAGGAATGAAGGACAACTGAAGATGATACTGTCACAGTGTGTGTGTGTGTGTGTGTGTGTGTGTGTGTGTGTGTGTGTGTGTGTGTGTGTGTGTGTGTGTTAGTCAGGTGTTAAAGCAGTAAACAGAGTAACTCACGCTGGCACTCTCTGCTCCGCGATGCTGCTTCAGCCCAGGGCAGACCCAGAGCTGGAGGATCAGTCGGGCCCATCGACGCCGCTCTGACAGAACAAACACTTTTAAATCTGCTTTGCCTTTAGGATCTGTTGCTGATTCTCTCGTCTGATTTAATAGTTTGCATGCTACATTCAGCAGTTGTTGTTATTTGTATTTCCTCGACCGTGTACAGTTCTGATATGCTGTATGTGTGCAGCACTTTCTCAGCTCTTTATTCATTAAACACTAAACTAAAACACTCACACAGAGCTCAGCTCAGGACGGGTCTTGTGTGTAAAGTGAATCACCTGTTCAGATCTGCCCTGTGCTCGGGATCCGCTGTTCGGAAGCCCTTGGCGAAGGGGTTGCAGGCGATCTTGAGTTGTGTGATCTGGAGCAGAAAACACATGAAAAGCATGAAGATTCAGCGCCGAGTCCTCCCTGTGCTGTCCTCATCTCTGCTAGAACACTGTCAGACTGCCAGTCAGATGCGTGTGTGGTTTAATTCTGCTCATTTGTGTTGTGTCAGAGTCTTTTTCTGGCTGCTGCAAGGCAGATCTGGAGAAACTGTGCAAACATCTAGAGCTCAGCTCATCCTGAAAGGTGATTCTGGAGCAGAAGAGTTTGCCAGACACCAGATCAGGGAACACGATCTCTGTCCTGGAGGTTTGCTGTCCTGAAGAGCTCAGCTCCTACACCTGCCAGGACGAGTCTAGTATACCCAGTAGGAGGTTGATTGGCTGGTTCAGGTGCGTTTGATTGGGGTTGTAGATAATCTCTGCAGGACGCCGGCCCGTCAGGACTGACCCTGCATTACAGCTTCAACTATTCACTCATTTGAATGAATCTTGAAGTCATATTTACAATATATTCCTTTGTTTAGCAGACAATGTTATCCAAAGCAACTTACGAAGTAAACCCCCCCATCCTATATTGCTAAAAATAACTCGTCAACATACAACTCGACTAGGTGGCCGTCCCTGACAGGAGGATACAAGCAGCACTTAAATTCCCCCGCATCAGTATATAGATGCTTTAGCAAGTGACAGATGATCCAGAGACAGACGAGTCTCTGCATTGATCCTGTGGGCCAGCCTGAACACCCGCCAGCAGCCTACTCAGACCTGCAGATTCTCCACAGTGGATGTCCAGTGTTCTCCTTGTTGTTATGGTCTGTGTTAATCTGCTTTGACACACCCTACATTGTAAAAGCGCTATAGGAATAAAGATGACGGTATAGCTGCTGTAAGTTTGTTTCGCTGTTTGTTATTATTTGAGTTTTTGTAGTGAAGTGTTGGTAGGAAAGTGTCTGGTGCATATGGAGAGGAACAGGAAGGGTTGTGTTTCCTACACGCAGTCATATATGACTTTAGTAAAGCTCCATCAGTGTTTCTCTGGGCTGTGTTTAAGGTGTGACCCGTCTAACTCTGGCAATGTCGCGCTGTGTTTCTCTGGGCTGGTGTGGTGCTGGTGTCAGGCTGTGTGTGTACCCTGTGGTTCTGGTAGGCAGTGACGGCGATGAAGCGTGTTTCAGGGAAACTGAAGGTGCAGAAGTTGCGGTGGGCGAAGCGCTGACTGTTCCTGCTGCGGTCCACCAACACCACATGCAGCCGCGGCTGGTATCGGTGCATGGAGTTCAGGATCATCTGCAGACACAGAGACACTGCGTCAGCCCGAGTGCGCATGTGTTTACCTTTCTCAGATACTCAAACACAAAACGAGCCGTTATTAATGCTCATAACTTTAGCAAATTCATATTAGCATCCAAACACAGCGAGTCCCATGTGTCTGTGCAGAGCTCCATAGCTGAGACAGACAGAGATTCAGAACAATAATAACGGGTTTGTGCATCTCATCATGATATGTATTGGTGAAGAACACAAGAGAGAATCAAATCAGAATTAAATCAAGAGGTTCTGTGGGTCTCATTGGTTCAGATGACTCTGCTTCAGAGCCCTTTCCCTGCTTCAGAGCTGCTGTGTTTGGGTGTCAAATAACCTTTTAGAACTAGACTATGGCTCAGCACCTGCACTCGAACTGACGTGCTGCAAAAGAGGTAAGTGTGTGTGTTTGTGTGTGTTTGTGTGTGTGTGTGTGTGTGTGTGTGTGTGTGTGTGTGTGTGTGTGTGTGTGTGTGTGTGTGTGTGTGTGTGTGTGTGTGTCCTACATGGCCGTTGTCATCCAGCAGGTTGTTGGTGAGCTTGAGTCGGTCGAAAGAGACAGTCTGTTTGATCCACTGGGCTCCGCGTGCTGGTGAGTCCGGGTGGAAGTGCACTCGTCCAGGAGCCGCTACATCTCCACGACCCGCCACCAGCCAGGACGAGCTGTGGAAGGCATACCTGCACACAAGAACATCCAGAACCATTTCCCGAAATGCCATAGTGTCCACAGA